TTCTTCTTTCTTCATCGACTGCATCGCTGCTGCTATCGTAGGCATGGCGGCATGTGGGTCAACGTGGCGTGCGTGGTCCCGGTGAAGTGCGTCGCTGCTCGGCTGTGGCGGCGGCGCTCTCGAATCCTCTTCAACGGGTCTCGATGGGACGAACCCCTGACGCTTGCCGGTGACTTCTTCTATCTCTGGTACATGCGGCTCCATCGTGAGTGCCAGCGTGCTTCGATGAACCCAATCCGACGTTCGTTCTCTTCTGACGGTAGCGTTGTCGTCTTCTATTTCCTCGTCGTCTTCCGATTCGGCTTCCAGGGCGGCGACACGTGCAGCAGCCAATTCCACCTCCTTTCGAAGTAGCTCCTCCCGTGCCTTGGCCAGAGCCTTCTTCTTCTGCGAGGCCGTGGTGCGAACCGTGCGTGCCGTGCCGTGCTTCGGTTCCTTCTTCCTTGCTGTCTCCTCTGTCGTTCCTGTGGCTTCGGTAGTCTCCGTGGCTCCTGTGGTCGTCGTATCGCCGGACGTGTTCGCAGTCGATGTGGTGGCGGCGGTAGACGACGTGGCAGCGACAGAAGGCATTCTGACAGCCGCAGACGACGTGGTGGCAGCAACGGACGGCGTGGCAGCGACGGACAGCGTTCCGGCGGCCGTAGTCGACGTGGTGGCGGCGGACGTTGTGGCTTCGGTGACGGCGATTTTTTGTTGCGACGACTTCATGTTTCTCGTAGTCGGCATTTCAGCGATCCGGCTTCAGAATGGTCTTCCTCCAGCGATCCGGCTTCTCGATGTACCAACGGTGTTCCTCCAGCAATCCGGCTTCTCGAAGGACCACGATGAACGGTGTGGACTGCCGCACGGTGAGCGTGGACTGTAGGGGCGTTGGTTCAGGCTGGAGTGAAACACAGGGATTACTATTCTGAAGCCTCCGGTACCGTCTGAAGAGAGTATTTTTTCTTCTTGTCCTATTTCTTCTCGAGTGTAGTGTGTCGCTGCCCGGAAGCGAATGCCGCTCGACGAGAGGCGGCCTATCTTTATACCCGCCCGCTCGCATGATAACGTTTCCAACTCGCGTTAGCGAATCTGCGCGAGCGGGACGGGGCGAGAAAGAACGAGACGCGTGTCTCTTCAGATCGGTACTCTATAGCGTTTATTTATTGCAATTTACAATTTCTTAATTCTATTTATTGTTACAATTTCTATTTCTATTCGTAGGTAATAATGACAACACACAAAGAAATACTTTATTTAACTTACACTATCTTAAATCTATGTAAAATCTATATAAAATAACAGAATACAGAAACGATTAACTAGGGACTTAACAACTATAAATTACGATTACATATATACAAATAATGTCGCGAACAGAAAGTGAGTATTTTCATTTGTTACATTTTAGTGTCTTACCAGCTTAGCCAATCACTATGAAATTTAGTATACAACATACTATATGAGATAAAGAAAGATATACATAGACTTTAATTCCGGTCAAACATCATATACCGGTAACGCAGACGAAGTTGCTGGTGAAAACTAATACATTATGTAAATTTAATTAATTATTAATTAATTAAAAAATAATAATTAATCCATTATACAAACATATATGTATGTATATTCAGGTAATGAAGTTGGTATGACCATTTTACTTGTCAACTGAGAAACAACACGCGTTTTTCAGTTGTATTTTTTATATAAGAACGTGTGTAGCAAATAAGGTTCAAAAATGTTTATGCTCTGTTTTTGAAAATGAAAAGACACGTCTTCTTACTACATTGTTTTATTGCGAACTAAAGTCAATCCTTTTTTACTAATATATATATAAAAATTAATGCCACTTTTCGTTGTAATTTTAGAACTCAAGAACGGGCTCCTAACCAAACCAAATGTTTACGCTTTGTTCGGACTATTTAGTAGATGGTTTGTGTGAAGTTTGCACAAAATCATTGTTAATAAAAAATTAAAATCATCATGTTATTCATTTATCACATATTTTGTAACAAATGAATTCAATAAATGGCCGATCATTTTATTAATGGGGATTTTTGTGGCAAATTCAAACTTTTTTTAAGATGGAGATTGTGCTGCCAAATTGAAAATTTTTTCAATGTTGACAGTACAAGCATGTTGTTTTGTCATTCATGCGGTCATTCACAAATAGCTAGCAATTAATAAAATATTTTTTTGTTTGAATAAATTAATTTGATGTTAATTTTTTTTTATTATTATTATTATTTCACTTTATACTTCTTATAAAATATTGGGTGACAGCGTGTAGTATGTTTGTGTGCGTAAAGTATGGACGTAAGGTACATCAGCATGGATTGGTGTGTGGACTGTATGTTAAGATTGCATAATTATATTCCTTTATCTTTATGAACAATATACCATAAATAGCTCCAACAATACCTCTTCTTGTCTCAATGTGTTATTTCAACGTTGTACATGTCTATAATTGTTGCAATTGCTACATGTAAATCTTTTTATAATATATATTGTCATACGTATATGTTTAAATATAATAGAAGACTGTCATCATTGTGTTGTCTTTCATTTGACTTCTTTGACTTATTGTGTCTTCTTTTATTTGCATATATGTATGTACGTGTGTATATATGTGTATATGTGTGTGTGTGTATATATATATATATATATATATATATATATATATATATATATATATATATATATATATATATATATATATATATATATTTAAATCGCAGACGACTTCTTGCGTCTTTTCACTTCCGATACTTATTGCATCCCCCACTTTCAGTAAAATTACAATTGTTTTGAAAGTGAATATTATTACTTTATTTCGTGCTAAAATCAGTACCCATAATTATATTTCTTTTAAATAACAGATATCAATATTCAATTTTCAATATTTCTAGCCGACGTTCCGGAGTCCGTTCATAGCGGGAATCATATGGCACATTTGTATATTCCGTATATAGTTTGTATGTCATGCAAACTTCATGCGTCCATTCGTCTCGCAGATCATGCAGCACTCAGTATATTCGTATACTTATAATATTTTGTGTAAATTTAAATGCGTCCTTTTAAGACAGACACTATATGGCGCACCGTATATTTCATATGTTATGTATTGTATTTAACTAGCTTTATGCGTCTCTTTATAATGGAAATCATACGGTATTTTACGTACTTCCATATACTTTTTAAATTTACATACATGCAAGGTGTACATTAATTAAAAGACTTTTTTTCTAAAAACATATTCTTGTTTTATTTAGAAAATTAGTACAGATATCTATTAAATAAAATTATTGATAACAAAGTAAATAAGATTTCTCATAATAACATTAAACAAAAGTATTTCTTTATTTAAGTCGTATTCTTTTATAAATTGTCTAAGAAAATCAGTACTAAACTCTGTTAAATGAATGTAATGAATACAAATAAAATTTCTTACAGTAACATTAAGCATCAACATTTTTAAATCGAAGCACTTTATTATTTTATTTACCTAACAAAATCGGCACAATTCTAATCCTATGAAATAAAATCATTATTCAGAACAAAGCAAATAAACACTTTTAATTATATAAAAGAATTTATAATTACAATCAAATATTTGTTTTATCTTTGTAAGAAAATCAGTACAATCTGTAAACTTATAAAAAAATGTTATAAAAACAAACAAGACCTCTTATAATAACATTAACTAACAAATTTTTTAACAAAAATCACATTATTGTTAAATCTATAGTAAAATAACTAACGTCAGCAATATTAATAAATCTGTAAGCTTAATATAAATAATATTACTTAGATTGAACACTAACACGCACATCTTAATTATATTAATATATGTATATTTTAAATAAAGAGTCATATTAAAAGATAAGCAAGTTTTTGGAGTAAGTTTGCTTCAAATAAACCAATGTAATGATAATTATCCTATTTTTTAGAATAAATATTTTGAATAAAAACTTTAATTTTGAGCCAGTCTTTATTTTGTAACAGTTCTGGGTATTGTCCTTTTAAATTTTCGCATTCTAATTTTCTGGGAGGTTTTTTATTTTGTATATGGCTCTTGAAAAATTTGGTAACAACTTTCTTTTGTTCCATAGACCAGGGTACTAAGTTTCTCTTTTTCCCTTTTTCAATTCTTTTATCTGTTATTGTCATCACCTGGTGATTAGGTTCAGATATTTTATTTTCAATCCAAATTCCAGGTTGTACACAAGAATTTTCAACTGACAATTGTGGTGTGGGTAAATCAAAATCTAAAATATCATCATTTACAATTTTTTCTTCTTCCTGCAATTCTTCATTTAGATCTAAATCTATTTCATCTAAACCTTTCCCTCTATAAGCATCTGCTTTTCCATCTTCCATAAGTATTAGAAGTTTTGAAATTTTAGCAGTTTGATACACATCATCTGGCAATCTATACGATTTCTTATGAACTTCATTAGTATGCCCCATGAACGTAGCTAATTGTTCCAGATCATTTTCAGACATACTAAATATTTGTGATAGCGTCGCTAAATGTTTTCTCAGTCTTGTGGAAGAAATTGCTTTCGGATTTTTTGCTCCAGATAATCTCGAGTACCTTTCCAAAACTTTATACCCATATATCGAGTTCTCAAATCCTGGGTTCCCAAACAGTAATTTATTTGTTGTAGAAACAAATTTGTCCCTTATTGTAAGCAGAAGTTTTATATCACCTTGAACTTCTTTACTAAATAACACGGGAACCCCACGTCCTCGTTTGCCTCTAACAACAACTCGTTTAAATGTTTTTACTAAAACTCGCTCAGATGCACTTAGCGTTCGATCGAATTCTTCATATTTTTCAGAAGTATTTAGGTCATTTTCCAAGTAATCATGTAGCGTAATTCTTTGAAGTTCCCCAGGTCTGCGCCGATTCAGTAGCAAAACTCTGCAATATATTGTCTCTAATAATTGTATGTATACCCCAAGGTGATAAGAACCTTCTTTAATTTTATTGGCAGCTTCTTCAGCGTGTTTGTTAAGAATTTTTTTTTAAATTTTTAAATCATTTGCTAAAGGTATTATGGTAACTTTATTCCACTTTTTTTTGTTTAGATCGGACGCAGCCTGACTTGAAACATCATATTTCCAATTAGAATCTATAAGGTGTATCAAAGTTTTGAGGCCCGCTTCTATTTCAGCAGTGTTTACTTCCATGTATGGCCCTTGTTTTTTTAATGCAAGCATAAATGCTATATTGCAGCACTGCTTTATGCTAGTAGAAATATTCATTGCAAATGTAGGCGAATCAAATCTATCTTTTTCCGAGTCATATTTACCTACAACCTTTGTAGCTGACACTATAAGATCATAATATTTCGGATTAAGTGCACCTAATAAATCTTTCACCGATTGATCTTTTTTTCTTATTTCAATTAACAATTTAGCTAGTTCTCTCATTTTTCTAGAAATTACATTCACAAAATGCATTTCTCTATGATTTTTCATATATTGTGACCCAAATGCACAAATGAGCAAATCTGATTTAGCAACAAACGATATCTTATCAGGTCTCATTCTGGGGAATACGGTTTCTTTAAGTTTTTCATCGATTTTCAAATGTTTTATTAACAAATTTTGTGCTTCTGATTGCACATTTTTAGTATTTTTTCCAGTGCACTTCTTATTATGTTTCCATAAAAGATTTCTTGAATAAAATCCTAAGCAATTAGTGCAAGGTAAATAATTAGTATATTTATGTTTTCTCATGGGCTTCGTCACTTCGACAGAATTTTGTATAAAATTTCCTTTTTTTCTTAGTTCCGTAATAAGTTTTTTTTTCTTGTTATACTTTTTTTAGGTACTGATAATATTTTTTGTACTTCTGTTTCAAGAGCATGGTTTCTTAGTAAATGTCTCGCAAAATTTAGAACTAAAGTTTCGCAGTAAAAACAAAAGTCTTTATTACGGATTACTTTTTTTTTGAGGGATTTTCATATTAGGTATTACTATCTCATTTTTATTACTGTCTCCAAGAACATTATTATTAAGGTGTATAACTACATCTTGTTTCGAAGGATAATTTTTATTGCATGAAGAGCTCTCAATGGAAATTATTTCGCCGCAAGAAATATTATTTTTATTACTAATATGACGACTAGTACTATCTACGTCTTTTGTTGATTCTTGGATGTTTCTTTCTAATATGACGGGACAGTTCATGTTCTCTTGTAGGAATGATTCATCAGAGCTAGTCTGCAAAAAATACATTTTAATTTTTAATACATAAATTTAATGTATTTAATCATTATGATGTTTTTGAGAAACATAATACAAAGTAGAATTCAATGATATTTTTTAATATAAGAATAAAGTATTTAACATTGAACATTTTTTCTTTTATAAAAGAACAAATGATAAAATAATTATACATGGTTTATAGAACAATGTACAGTACTGATAATACTGATGACATTGAACAATATACTTCTATAAATGTAGTCGAAATAAGAAAGCATTTGTTGAGTTTTTCACATAAATAAAATTAGTATGAAAAATTAAAAAAATAATTTCATATTTAGATTATACATATTTCTTAAATGAATTAGGACTGATATAACAAAATATAGAAAAATCTAAATGGAAAGTATTAAAAATTCAAATAAAAAAAAAATTGTCTCCTTACGTCATGTGCTGACGGAGTGTAGTTGGAATCTGTTCCCGAATTGTAATTACTTGAGTCAGACATTTCCTATAACAAAAAGACGATGTGGTTTAATAAAAAAATAACCTATCTGCTGCGTTTTAAATTTTGTTATTGCTGTATGTGAATAGATAGGTAACCAGTTTAAAATTAATGATGGTTGGCAATAATTTACTGAATTATTTCCATAAAGAACCCCACCATACTATAGGTAACTATAGTATAAAGGAAAAAAGATAATTACCTCATTATTTGTTGAATCTGATGATAAATTCACTGATGTTTCAGTTTTTTGACAGGAATCTAAAAATAATAAATAATCCACTTATCTAATAGATTTATAGGTAACTATAATCTCTTTTTTTATAAATGGTGGTAATATTAATATATCTTTGCATGATTTTTATTGTTATAACATTGTGTAAAACAATTGGCTAAAATAAAAAGATTTTGTTAAAAAAATTAATCTTAGTTTTAAAATTAAGGTATTTTTTTTTATAGAAATCATTATTTTAAAAATAAAAAAGATAATTTTTTATACAACTTAGAACGGCAAACAAGCTGATAGCCCACCATCCCACGCAGATGGAAAGTGGTAACCGTCGAAATCAAATTAGGCAATAGTACATAACTAAATAACACAAAAGTATATTTAATATACTAAGAATGTCTATTATTTCTGTGCGATTATAAATAAAATATGTTAGGTAACCTTTTTAAGTACAAAAACATTCGTCTTCCGGGTAGTGATCGTAAATTGCATATTGACAAATATTACACCAAAAGAAAGAACTATTACACAGCTTTAGTATATCATCACGATTCATAGATAAAACAAAATGATTTGGAATCGAATCAAGATCTTTTGTAATTTTTGTGTCACAAACACAACATGTCTTATTTAAAACAAAATGAGTGGAATACCACGGCCACAGTAGACAGTGTTTGTAATAACTTTTGAAGTCATTTCTATTAAAAAATCTATCTACATCAATAACAATGACCATGATGAGGTCGTGCGATTTATAACGACGAATCGACTACTGCAACTGTCTTGATTTTATTGTATGTTTAAGATAACTAAATTATATGTATTAGTATGTAGGTAAGGACGTAAGATTATGTCCTTAAAATTTCTTTTAATCTTCTAACATAAAGTATACTTACTAATATAAATATTAGGTACTTACCTTTCAATAATTGTAAAATTCTCATACTCCTTTTCATTTTCGTTTCCAATATTCACTCCTGATATTCACTAAACTCACGTATATAACCTTTGCAGCGTCCTCTCATAAAGGACGCTAAATGACCATATGCCACACCGCTCTTAAATAAATAAACATTACAACGCGCGAATTAAGACAGCTACCCCCTCCCCCTCCGTCTCTACTCCTTGTCATACGTTCCCATATACGCTTTACTAACGGAAGCAATTAAATAATGAATTTAGACAGATAAAAACTTGAAAATTATAATATACGGTAGTGGCATTCGCGGAGTAATATATGGAAAAAAGTTGTATATACGATGCGCCGATATACGGCGCACAGTATCGCCCTCCAAATGTTGTGCGACAAACCGCGGAACTAAAAAATACGCCGAATTACAATAAGGTGACCAAATAGCGTCCATGCCAATTTTTTGGTAAAACGTTATACTAACAATAAGGAGTCTGTAGCATAAAGATCAATCTTGCGTCCGGTATACGGACGCAATAAGTCAGTAGGACGCAGTATCATTGGTAAATTCGCCCATATAAGTCGCAAGATTTATTGTTTATGTAAATATTTATTTTAACTTCTGTTTTGCACTACTGCTGCCCACTCACTACTTCCTATGCCACTGTGTTAGGTTGACTGGAAGAAATCTTTTTTAGAGATAAGTTCGCCTTTGCTAACATTGTTATTAACTTATTGTTGTTACTGTATGTTTTAGTGCAATAAAGAATATATATATTTTTATTATTGATATATCTAAATAAATAAATAAATAATTGTGTAATCTATACTTATAATAAATCTGTAGAGAGGTCAGTTCTGTACATGAAATATATTTCCAAAATAACTATCAGGGGGGGGGAGTGATTAATGATCGATACTGATGCCAAAAATGCAATCAGTAAAATTTTTGTCTGTCTGTCTGTATGTTCGTTATAGAAACAAAAACTACTAGACGGATTTTAACGAAACTTGGTACAATTATTCTTCATATCCATGGGCAGGTTATAGTATACTTTTCATCACGCTACGATCAATAGGAGCAGAGCAGTAAAGGGAAATGTTGGGAAAACGGGAGAAGTTACTCCATTTTTAAGCTTCCGTCGCGTGTGCAGCCTTAATGGCCACTTTTTAAAATGTAAAAATGTCCACCTGTGCGAAGCCGGGACGGGCCGCTAGTATATAATAAATATGAATAATATGTATATATTTTATCATATATTTACTTACATAACATATACTATTATAAGTACTGAGGTAGGTATAATGTATGCATATGATTATTTGCATATAAATAGATTAATAAATAAATATTCTTGTCATATTTTAGTACTAAACCTTTTTAGGAAATTGATATTTTTTTTTTATAATCAATTTTATTTAATTGAAGCTTTCTAATGAAACTGTTTCATTTATCCTTTTTGATAATGAGTAATGATTGCTAAATCCACAATGTCGGCTATAGATGCGTACATTAGTTCTTCAACACTGAATATTGTTTAAACGCTTATCCACATGTGCGCAGCATCCAATGCATTGTGAAACGACCGGATATCGCCATTCTGAGAACCCAGTAGGTAGTTAAGTACCCTGTCTGTCTCTCTGTCACACTATTGTTGACTCTTTCCGAAATTAAAAAGATTAAATTACCAATTCAGTTCATTAAATGTTAATTAATTAATTATTAATTTAATTCCAGAAACACAGGTACAGTTAAAAGTTAAATTTAAGTAGAACGCTAGGTTACTATGTAATTTATTTAAAAATATACACTGAATTTAAGTATAAACTCAAAATATGTCTGTTTTATTTTATTTTACGAATTCTTCTAGTAATAGTGGTGGTCAATCTTCGAGTCATTAGTCATTTATTCAAAAAACAATGTGTATTTTTTTTAGTTAACTTCATTATTATGTTTTATTATTTTATTTATTTATGTCTGAAATAAGAGATAATCATACAAGAAAGCATCATCACCTTCCTACCCTTATCCCAATCATTTGGGGTCGGCGTAATATGATTTTATCCATGTTACAAAAAGATTTGGTTTTTAGTTTTACGACCGGCCGCCTGCCTGACATCAACCCTCTTTGGAAATGCATTTGATGGTGGTTTCCGCCACCTACGGTATGGAGGAAAGGATTGAGGAAAAAAGGAAGGGAACGTTGGAAATGCGTAAAGGAAATTGGTGAATGAGAGGAATAAGGGACTTATGTGGAAAAGGAAGGGGAGGAGGGACACTGCAGTTGCGGAAAGGACTGGGACACTGCAGCGGCTCGGGAGGCCGGCGTCGCATACCCGTATGCCCTTATTCTAGAATCGGACAGATTTCCAGAGAAGAACACCCCTGACGCTCATACAAGAAAGCATTAAATTAAATTGATTATTACAATTATTGAATAACAATAATAAATATAATTTACAATCAACAATGTCAACTTCATCCGTAATATATATGTACGTCAAATTTATTTTTAATTTTAGTATCGAGTGTTGCCAGTCGCACACATACTAATGTTAGCAGAATTAAAATAATTCTATTTCAAAATAACAAATGCCTCTTTATTTATCATTGGACTTAAAAAATAATATAAATCAAATTAATAATAGATCTTTTATTAGTAAATTTATTGGTTTTTTTTTGCCACGAAACAAGCATGCAGCCCATCTGATGGTAAACGGTCATTGTAGCCTATGGAAGCTTGCAACAAAAGGGGTGTCACTTGTGTGTTGCCACCCTGAATAAGAACAAATTTACAGTCTTTTATAATAATAATAGTAATAAATATAAAATATAATTATATAACAAAAATACCTATTGACAATTAGTGTACACATTAAGTACATAACAATATTTCAATAAATAAATAATGATAAAATTTATGGCAGTCTGCAGCGGTTTAAACACAGATAATGCGGAGTGCATAATGTACTCTTAATATGAAAGATATCTCTTATAAGTTATCAACATTAACTACTGTATAATTAAATATATAATTATTTACACTGGTACCTAAAGTGCAATTTATTTTTATTTTTTTTTTGTACGACTTAGAATGCCAAACAAGCTGACGGCCCACCTGATGGAAAGTGGTAACCGTCGCCTATATACATGAGCAGTACCATGGACATAACAGTACACATACATACTGTTTCGCCCATGATACCCCCCCCCGCCCCTCCATGCGTTGCCATTCCTGAGGACTCAGGTGTTATTCCTCTGTACTCAGTAAATTCACGCCATATTCCACCCTTCAAACCGAAACACAGCCATGCAAACACAACTGCTTCACGGTAGAAACACGAATGGAACAGAGGTACCCAAGCAATCGACTTTTATACAAAGTCTCCCTCTGGTATTTATTATTTACTATATATTTCCCGCTGCTTTGTTCACGTGGGTCAGTATATAAAGTTTGTATTTTTTTAATAGGTGATAATGGAATGGTAACCCCGCCTGCGCTATCGGGATACGCTGGCAGGGCACCAGTGAAGGATGATAGGTGAGGATGAAGCATGTCAGTTGGCCCATCGTGACGAATTCAACAAGAATTGTTCACGATGGTTTCCAGGGGGAACCACGTGGAGGTCGACCTAATAAGGCATATTGCTAGCAATGGGGCTGTCTAACTCCATTGCTAACAATCCCTTTCCCCCATAAAGTTTGTATTAAGTCATGATATCATCCACTCGTGTATCAAAATTTATTCAAATCCATTCAAAAACATAATTGGCTTTACAATATCAGTAGCATTATAATACAATGTGATAGAAAAAAATTAATTTAAAATTTATTTTTCACTTAAAAACACATTTCATCTTTACAAAAACAGTATTTTTTTTATGCAACTTAGAATGGCAAAAAGCTGACAGCCCACCTGATGGAAAGTGGTAACCATCGACTATAGACATGAGAAGTACCATTGACATGACAGAGTATACTGTTTCGCTTATGATACCCCGCATGCGTTGTCATTCCTGAGGACTCATGTGTTATTCCTCTGTAATCTGTGAAATCAGTAATATTATCTACAATAACAACACAAATAATCTAGCAAAATATAAATATTTACTATTGAAATAGACTTATTTACAAGCTTTTTTAAATCATAATTTTTTAAGATTCTATTCCTGAGTTTGGAATCTTATTTTTGATTTGCCCATGATACCCCCCATGCGTTGCCATTTCCGAGGACTAAGATGTTATTCCTCTGTACCCTGTAAATTCACTGCCATATCCCACTCTTCAAACTGCTTCACGGTAAAAACAGAAACAGTATAGGAATAACACGAAACAACAAAACTACCTATATGCTTTATATAAAAAAATATTATCAAACTGTTTGAAAAATATATCAACAGAAATATAGGAAAACTTATGAAAAATTAATTTGAAAATAAACTATTTAGTTTATAATAATAACAAATTTATATGTTACATCTATCCGATAAGTTAAAAATGTTTCGTTTAAAAAATCCTAGATGGCGCTAGTATTAAATAACCTCATTATGTTTCTACAAAACTCATTTCAATTACCACACTAATAAAGTCTAACACTAGGCAAAACTAGCTTCCAACACAATCACAAGACTACGAAAATTGCTGGCAAATATCATTTGTAAACATATAATAAGCGACAAAACTCATTATAGGGCTTGTGCACATGATTGCTGCAAATGTAAAGGTCGCGGTGCGCAGGCGCATGGGGGCGGGGTCGCTAGCGACGCATCTGCAAGGCAACCGTGCACATTTACGTCGCACGAAGTAATCTCGTCCTCAAGGGCAAATGTTAATTGTCAATTATAAACATTATTTTATACCAGAGGGAGACTTTGTACAAAAGTCGATTGCTTGGGTATCTCTGTCCCATTCGTGTTTCAACCGTGAAGCAGTTGTGTTTGCATGGCTGTGTTTCGATTTGAAGGGTGGGATATGGCGTGAATTTACTGGGTACAGAGGAATAACACCTGAGTCCTCAGGAATAGCAACGCATGGGGGATATCATGGGCGAAACAGTATACTCTGTTATGTCCATGGTACTGCTCATGTCTATAGGCGACGGTTACCACTTTCCACCAGATGGACCGTCAGCTTGTTTGCCATTCTAAGTTGTATAAAAAAAATACAGCAATAGCGATAAACAAGCATACGGCCCGACAGAGTATAAACGATCATTGTAAGCGTTAATAAAACTTATAAGACTAGGAAAGTTCCGTGCGCGTTACTAATCTAGTAGAAACCTTAATATGGTTTAATATGTCATTAATAAATCGTATTACCTGTTTATTATATTCACAACTTTTACTCACAACACCACGTAACTACAGTAAGTTGATAAACCAGAATAAATAGGGGTGAAAGTGATTGTTAGTAATGGGGTCTAATAGCCCCATTACTGGCAATATACCCTCTCAAGTTGACCTCCACGCGGTTCCCCCTGGACACACACCATCATGTTTAATTCTTATCGAATTCATCATGGTGGGCCAACTAACCTGCATTTATTCTCACCTATCAGCTTCCACTGG